GAAACCGTGAAATAGAATAGTGCAGGACACTCAAAATGGCATCTTCGCTACAGGCTTCAGTTTGCAGGCTTAGACTAAGAGATCAAGGTTTAATGTTCCCTTAGCTAAATGAAAGTGATAAAGCAATTGTCTTCATCAGTGAACAGTCATTTCTGTTGAACGTTTGGAGTTCAGGACATGATTTTTATTCCAAACAACCTCCTGTTCCTTAAGTTGTGCACCAAGTGTGGCAGTGTCTTGCTTCACTAGATGTGGCATCTTATATTTTCCTGAGCCCTCACTTTCGCTGTACATGTGAAGCTCTGTGTTAAGTAAATTAATAAATAAATAAAAAATCAAGCCCCAAGTTAATCCAGAAATTTTCCAGATTCATGTAACTTAATACTTTTTATCATTGTTGCACACACACACACAAAAAGTGTGGTAATTTTCATATCGATGCCGGTTACTGAAGGTGCTGTTTCAAAATGCTGTTCAGTGAAATCGGGAAGGTTAGGCAAAGTCAGGCAGGGTAAGCAGGTACTTGAGTCTTAGTCACCTGAACAAAGATAGGCAAACACCAGTGACAATATTTTGAAACTATGAAATGATCCAAGTAGCAGTTCAGGCTAAATCAGATAGTTAATGTATGCTGTAATTTATGGCTTGAATTTAGAGTAGATGTGTGAGAACTATCTCTGTTGTTAAAAGTCACGGTACTTTTCCCATCAGGAATTTTAGCCGAGTGAAGGAACTCATAATTAAATGCTAGCCTGTTATATAACTTCATAGACATGCTTTTATAACACAAAGTCAGAGACTTAAATGGTTTGCTACCATAATAATCACACTGTTTTGGGACAGTTGTTATCCAAGTTATCTTCTGCTTGTTGGAATTTCCTTGGACTTTTGTAGTCTGAAGGCAGCAAGGACCAGTATCTCTCAGGTGCCAGGTCAAAGGAGTTTCTCAGGGTTGTTCCGTTTTGTTTTGGTTGGGTGGGTTTTTTTTTGTGTGTGGTTTTTTCCTGTTGACAGCGAAGAGCTGCTTCTCCTCCTTGGCAGGCAAAATCCTGCTCTGACTCATTTCCAGTCCTTAAGCATAGAGTGGTTTATAAGAAAGACAGGAATGGTTCATATAATGATGAGTATATTCTCTAGTTGTTTTTCAATACTTGTGCTTATTCCTATTTGGGTTTTATATTGAGAAGAAAACAAAGACAGGCAGTTTTCCTTGGTTTAAGGCACTCCACTGTTCTGTCACAGAGCTTTTCCTTGTTCCTTTCCCACTGCTGTGGTTGGGCTGTGGATGGCTGGAGATGAGGTGAGGGAGCTCCTCATAGCTGGCTCCAGAATGGGGTGGAATGATCGTACAACACATGGGATGATTATTCTGTTACTGGCCTATTTGGCTTAGATGTTTGTTGAAGATGACAGGAAGAAAACAGCTGTGGAGAAAGAAGGATCGCTAATTACCTTTGGGAGTGAAGACTGAGGAGGAAATGGCAAACCAGTGTGACAATGGTATTTCTTGTGAACAGGAATATTATCGCAAGAAATAATGGTCTGTTACTTAGACATATTCCTCCTCTACTTGTTTCCAGTGTTTTAATTTAAGATGCAATGATTAAAAAGAAAAATTAATGAATGTTTTTTACGTATGTTACGTTATTGCAAACTGTTGTGAAGTCCCTATGACAAAATCTTAAGAACAGCTTTTGATACATATTTGTAGCTGAGACTACAATTTGTGAAGCAAAACTTTTCAAAATTGATTTCAGGTTTTATAAAAAATTCAGCTAATGCTCACGAAAGCAGTTTCTAAACAGACAACCCCAAACTTTGGCCAGGTCTCCACTGCTGAACAACTTGCCAGCAAGCACTACATCAGCCAGGGGTGTGGAAAAAAGTCATACATCCTTGCTGACATCAATACGTTGGCAAAACCTCAGGCGTGGATGCAGCTGTGCCGGCAGAAGAGAACTTTTATCAGCTTAGCTTATGTCGTTTGGGGAGGTGACGCAACTACGCCAGCAGAAAAACTCTTCTTTTGGCATGTGCTGTCAGCGTAGGAGGCTCTGCCAGCGCAGCTACAGCAGCGAGGCTCTGCACCACTGCCGAGCCTTTTGCAGCAACTGCAACTGGAAAAGAAAAGCCCCTTTGAACAAAAGAGGGACCTCTATAATTTGGTTTTTACAAGTAGTCGTCAATGAGGAACAGAGCGGAAAGGGTGATTCAGATTTTAAAATTAAGTCTTAATGTGAAAAATGTGTTTAAGTCGTATGGCTTTAAGATGTCACTGGCCCTTTAATGGTTATCTGTGTGTCTTTGGGTTGCAGGGTTTGAGAGCTGCAGTACACCCAGCATCTGTATTTTGTAAAGCCTTTAAGGCTGGTAAAGGTATGAGTTTCTGTGGAAGCAGTGAAAAACCTTTTGTCTGTAAACTTAGGAAGACAACTGTAATCAAATTTACATTCCCATCATATTTGTATGTGACCACTAGCACTAGAGCATCTTCATGTTTAAATTTCTCAGAATGGAGTGTTTATGTTTTACAGGAAGGCAGAGTTAGGATTCCTGCTCTCTCTATACACGCATACACACATTTTCCTCTCCTGCCTTTGGCCAGCTGGTGACAAGATTTTACAAAACTCCAGTTCTTCATAATGTAGAAAACCAAAGATTTTAAGGGAAAAATGTTGAATGAAGTGAAAGCAAAACCAAACCAAAGATACTGAAAAGCAAAATAGAGGCTCCTAATATCCAATAGTAATTACCAGTTAAGACTAAGACTGATACGTAGGTGTATGTAGACTTTTATGGCAGCTGTATGTGCATGCATGAGGGAAGTGCGCACTTCAAAACCTTGAACAGAGTAGTTGTGCGCTTGATCGCTATATGCATGTTGAGAACTCTGCTGAAGGCTTTTTGAAGAGAATAGCAGCACTGTGCCAGGCTAAGTTTGTTCAGTTTGTTATGAAAATGTTTTGAAACTAGTTGCTCTGTCATTCTGCATTGCTTGTAACCCTAAAAATAATTGCCTGGCATTACTGGAAGCAGAACTGTCTGACAGCCCAACTTGTGCTGCTATAGTTAAAATCCATCAATGTTTCCATTACAAACTTGGAGGCAGGGTTTCATCTTTTTCCCATTTTAAATCATGCCTGGAAGAAATTTTGCATCAGGGCTTCAACTACAAGCATAAATCTTTTGGAAGAGATTTGATGTTTCTAAAAATCTTTATTTAAAAACGAACAAATCTCCAACCCTAAGGCAATGAAATATTGATATTCAGTATTGAAATGTTAAATGATCAGGAATATATTTCATTCTTTTTGGTAATTTTCAGTTCAATTAAAGTAGGCAACAACAAAGTTTCTACATATCAATGTTGATTTTTCTAGTAAGTGTTGCAGTTTGCTGTTCCAGTCTATTATTGCTGCATAATAAACTTTGCAATATGCTGAATTGGAAGATTTCAAAACCTTGCTAGGGAAACATAAAAAAAGAAACACATAATTATCATAAACTATCTCATATAAGACATGCCTTTGTACTTTCTCCCACTTGCAATTTCATTCCAATTTCCTGAGGTTATCTCCAAAATAGTTTCACTTTTCTTGTGTATTAAGGCTGCAGTTTTATGGATGCTTTAAACCGAGGTAAACTGTAACCCCTCCTCTCTGCCTACACATTCCTGTTCCCTGCCTTGTGACAGCCAAAGCTTTTGCGTAGCACAAAACCACATGCGGTGAACCAGATCAGGGAAGATAATTTTTTTGGTTCAGGCTGTGGCTGCACAACTGTTTGTACTAGTCCAGAGAAGAAGGTGGCACCAGGGCAGGAACAAGTGAATCTACACTGACGTCTCACTTTTTATATTCCACTTTATTTTTTTCTGTTCCCTTACTGTTCCTTTCCTCTGCAGTTTGCAGGGTGGTTCTTTGCTATGAGCTTCTCGAGCCATGGAGGCTTGGGTTTTTGCAGGAAAGGGGCCACATGCAGCCAGGTCTTTTTGTCAGTAAACCTTATAGTCAAGACTTCTACTGGCAACTTTACTTCTCTAGAATATTTGTTAAAGTATTCCTGTCTCACAACACCACGGACCTGCTCATAATAGTGTCCTGCTATAGTGTTGTTAATGCAAATGATTAAGACTGCTTTACTGCAGATTTTCTCTAGGGTGTTTTTATGTTCCATTAGGGTCTGATTTTAAGAACAATAGCATTAGATACCTTGAGGACTAGGTAGAAGTGCTTATGTGCTTATCTCCTTTTGAAACTTGATTTTTTTGCCATTATACAGAATATTTTTCTTGACACTCTTGAAATAATCCAGAGATACTCAGATCAGTGGCAGTATGAAAGTTCTGCCAAAGCACACAATTAACTTGAAGTCTGGTCCTTAAGCTATCTGTGCTCCCTCTCTATCTTTAAAGAAACAATAGCAGTATTGTGTGAAGTACTGAAAACCAGAAGAGATACAAAAGAGGCTTCTAATTATTTTTATATTTCTGGATAGATTAAGGAAATAATATAGTCATCGTGTCTGCCACAATAATTCATTTAATGCATCTGAAATAGTCGTAGTGATGTAGACTTAGCTTATACCTGCTGGAACGTAGAGGAGCGATGTCTCTTTATTTCATTTTCACATCAGATGCCACAATGAAGAGTAATAAAAACCTGTGAGTAATATTCAGCAGAGGTTATATATAATCTGAGCCTGGGTCGTGCATGGAGTATGCTTCAGATGGTGATTGAGTATATTAGAATGTGCCCGTGAAGCCTGTCCCAAAGGTGGTGTGAAAGCAGGTGTATTTAAAATACAGGAGTAATTATGTACAGATTTAACACAGTGCTCCAGATGGTAAACAGGCTACTGTAGACTGAGCTGATATGCATGCTGCGATTGCTATCTATAGTTTACTCTAACACACTTTTTCCTTTGCAGCAGTCCATTGTACCAGCCCACCCAATGGCTCCTCCTAGTCCCAGCACCACCAGCAGTAATAACAACAGTAGTAGCAGCAGCAACTCAGGATGGGATCAATTAAGTAAAACAAACCTTTACATCAGAGCACTGCCTCCAAACACCACTGATCAGGACCTGGTAAAATTGTGCCAACCGTAAGTACTGTGCTTAAATATAAATTCTACTGCCATACCTTAAAAGCTTATCGTAGGTATACAAAACGAGTGTTTGGATTATGAAAGGGAGAATAACAAGATTCGTAAATAAAAATCCTCATGCTGTAGTACAATGGCAAATTTCAACTTCCCTGGCAATTGGAAAGTAAAGAATGTCTTTGACACTTTGGAAAAGCAAAGAAAGTTGAAATATAGTAGTGAACAGAAGTAACCCATTGCTTTAGTAAAAACTATGATTGCTTATACTGCTGCCTGATGCTGTTGAAATCACAGATAAATGAAAAATAACACTTAAATGTGAAACTCGGTATTAAGAACCTGCAACAGTCTCCTCTGTTTGCTACTAAGATAATCTATTGATACAAATTTCTCAAATAATTGTTTTACATCGCTGTAAATTACACTGTGCATTTGAATACTAAATTAGTTTCAGACTAACTTGTGTTGGCTGTACATTACTGCACGGTTATATTTATGATTAGAAATAGTCGATCTGCCTAAGAATCCTCTCTAGTGGCTGGAGTTCCAAGTAGGCTTGGCTTAGCAGAAGGTTTTCAGGTAGTGTTGTTTAACATGAGTTTTTTGTGCTTGTGTGAGGTTTTTGGTTTTGTTTTTTAATTTTTACAGTAGCACATGCCTTTTAGTTACTTTCAAATGTGCGTCAGCTGTCAAGAGACTGTGCAATTATGTTGTTTGTACACTGTTTAAAATCACCTTTCTGAAGTGTTTTACTGAATTTTTAAAATGCTTAGTACTTCCAAAATTCATAGTGCATTTTCTAGATTATTTTTAAATCAAAAGTGCTTAGCTAAATTTTCAATACTACCTACAAGAAAACAGCCGAATCTCTCTTGAATGAATGGAGAATCATTAAAATTTCTATACAATGCTACTGTCTGAGATTCTCAAAGTAATTTTATGTTCAATTTAGCAGATAAGTAACTAGGAATATAGAAAAATACATTCCCAAGATCACAACACAAGTTAGCAAAATAGCTAGGAAAACCTCTGTGTCTTGGATCCTATCTTATATGAGGCACCTTCAGTTTTGAATATTGCAAAAAATCTGATACCTACTTTATAGAGAGCGGTTTTTCTATTTCCTTTTTTGAGCAAAACTTGGACTTTCAGCATAGTAGTCACATTTCAGTCATCTTAGTATTACAATAAAAACAACTTGGTCTCAGGTCTGTAAAGAAAAAAGTTTTCTGTTTGCTCATTTTCCCAACAGCAAATACAATCCATGTGTTTTACAGAAAAGAGAACAGATTATCAATCTGTGAAAAGATTCGTTGATGAATTAAACATTTTTACAGCTTCCTGTGCAACAATGACCTCTCGTCACTTGAATTTTAGTTGCAGATGCATGTTTTACAGAAGTGGATTTTTACTTCCCATTTTTGTCCTTTGAACTGATGAAGAAACCTTGGCCTGTGCACTTATATTGTGTTAGGACGGAGTTGTGAGGTTATTTTGTGCTGGAGCTGCCCAGTAACTACTCTTCGTGCAGTGGTTACTATACCTCCTTAATCTCTTCCTGAAGACATTTTGGTTTGCACAATCTTAGATGTCATCGACACATGAACATCCTAGAAAAAAAACGGTCAATACTTTGCTGTAACTGGTCCCTTTCCTCTTGGATAGTCAAAAATTCCAATTTTGTTGTTGCTGTTCAATATGTAACTGTAGTCGGAACAGCATGAATTTTGCAAATAAAGAAAAGGCAAGAACTGCAGCTATGAAGTTATTAAATCAATTCTGGCATGAATTTACAGACTTGGAAGGTCGTGGATTTCTTCCTGTGAGATATTTCTCTCCTAAACCTCTTACTTGAGAGGAAAGGAAGCTCCATCTCAAAATTCTCCATTTCTGCTGAGGAACCAAGTCAGATGTCCAGAAATTTTAGACTTGGACCATTTTTCAAAAATCTGGGTAATGGATTAAGAGCCTTAAGCTTCTGTGCCAGCATAGACCCTGAGCGACTAACTTGATGCTGCAGTAAGGTAGAAATGACCACAATCTCTCCTTGTTCACAGAAGCTCAGTAGTCCACTTTTATAGACTATGGAATGTTTCGGATGCGAAGTGTTTCCTTCCTACCAGTCTCCTTAAATGTCTAGGACATAGAGGGCAAGATATTCTTGAAAGTGAACCTGTCATGTTTGTTGTTTAACCTGAGACAATACAAAACAAGTAGAGAGTAAAATCTTGGACACATAGTGAATGAAGAAACTACTGTTTGCTCCAGATCTCTGAAGTACTTTCATCAGCTCTTTCCAAATGCCTAATATTTTACTGGGAGGCTTTAGAGTAATTTTAGCTCCTTTTCCCCAGGTAAGAGTGGATCTTGCCGTCTAAGAGTCTCCACTGGAGTGCTTGATGTTAAGAATGGATAGAAAGGCTGCTTTGCATATTGTAGGAATGATCTTGCTAGCTGGCAGTAAGCAGTTTTCAGTGGATGTACAGAAAAAGGTCACTGTCTTTTGTTTTATATTTTTTGGCTGTTGTCAGATAAGACAGAAGAACACCTGTGGGTTGAGGAAATGATGTCTGAAAAACATCATTGTCACTACAAATGCCAGAAATATCCCATCTGCACAGATTTTTCCTCTGATCATCATAGACTTGTATCATATACACTGTGCTGGAAAGTAATTTTCAGTGTTGGTTATTGTTGAGAAATACTGCTTTCAGTATAATCCCTCAGAATACAAGGCAGAAGAATCTACAGAGTTCTTGTGCAGGGCTCTGGTTATACAGTGAGTTTTATGTGCTTTAGTCAATATGTTTGCTTGCTCATGACAGATAGCAGTGCTAATTTTGGCCATGTTTTTATTTTGATTAATTATTTTTGTTGAATCGCTAGAGAAACCTCTTATCAAATTATAGAAGTGTTGGGCTTGCTTTCCTGTTGTAGCACACAGCTGTGCAGTATTTATGAACACAGTTAGCAAATGTTCACTAGTTTTGTGGAAAAGTATTTTCCTGGCAAGAGCGCAATTTGCCAATATACGTCTCTACAAATCTGCTCTCCGCCTTCCTCTGCTTGGTTCTTTCTAGTTTTCTGTTAGATTGAGCTTCCTCCTCTTTTCTAAGATGAAAAGAACATATTACAATTTTGTTGTGAAGGCTTACCTGGGAGTACAGCTGTTTTCAGGCAGTATTATTGGGTTTTGTGTGGGAAATGAAGCTGCCACGTTTCTGAATAGTTCAGTGGAACTTGAGCCTGCTACTCCAGTTCTGCATTGGGAAAACAAATTTCTTCATATCAGTTGTGCCAGAGGCAGAAGTGTGGGGAAGAATAAGGTAGGTATTATGTTTATTGCAAGGATGTCGTAACAGCCAAGCCAGACCCATAGCCCGGAGTGTTGGGGGGACACCATGTGTGTCAGTCCTGGCCATAAGAGCTTTCCATCAGGTATGTAAGGATAGGCAAAGCCATCGATGCAATATCCCACAGATACTGTCTTTTCTGTGGGAGGCTAGACAGGAGCAGTCAGCTAAATCGGAGGACAAGAGCAGACGAAAGGAGAAGTTAAGTAAGGAGCTGATGAGCACGGTTTGGGGAAGCCTGCAGGAAGCTGCCTGACTCCACTGTGCAGTTTCTTTTCCCAAATTATGTAGTGCCATTGCATGAGATCTGCTGTACTGAGCAAACCTCTGCCATGAAGAGCTGGTTCTACAGGGTTGCTGGAGCAGTGGTAGCTACAGCCAAGCCTAATTGTGCTCCCTTCCCCTAATGTGGCTATCAATACTTGCTTGACGTGCCTCCTTCAGCTGTGGTTTTGGGTTTATGAATACATTATTTAGGCTTTAATTGTACTTTCTTATTCAGTGACTGTTAAACAGTAATTTTTTGTAGCTTATTTAATATCTGGATCTGAAGATGCAAGATTAAATCCATTCCAGTTATTCAGTGAAATTGTTGAGACTGCTTATGTGATTAGGGACTTACGCGATTTGGTCTTAGGAGATTCAGCCAGGAGTTTGTAACTTGCTTTGACACGTTTTCTAGGTGCTTGCCAGACTCTCACTAAGCACAGTGCTTCACTGCGGATGACCTTTATGCCCAGGCCCCATGGTTCCAAAGCCCTGTGCTTTCTACTGTCTTAAATCACTTGCTAGCCTGTAGCATGGCATCTCCTTAATGCTGAATTTCTTCAGAGACCTCCCTTTGTGCCATTTACATCATTAAATGAGGATGATGCAGCATACCCTTCATCCTGCTGGCAATCCCCAGTCCCAGGGTGCGATTTCAAGCTTTGAGGCTTAACCCAGGTCTCCCCCTTTCAGTTCAGCATAAATCATCACGCCAGCCCACCCTTTGGTGTCCTCCCTTCTGGTCTGCTCGGACTGTACCACTTGTATCAAGCTGTTTGTAGTCTGTATGATATTTTTGAAATCAGTTTTTGCTCTGGACAGTTTCACTTAGGCCTTCCCTCTTAAATTATCACTGTATGGTTATAATGGGTTTTTTTAATGGGATTACAATTAGGAAAGCAGCTGGTTTAAGGTAACAAAGTTAGTGATCTAATTACCACAACAGACTGTTGTTCTGTGCCAGGATGGTCGGAACACAAAACCAGAACCTTGCAGCAGCTGCCTTTGCTTATGTGTGTTGGGAAATCGTGTATCTTGTTGAGAGAGTACTTTAAGGATTCCTTCCTAAATATCCAGCATCATGAACACAGGGGTAACTAAAACGAATGGCAGGCTAATGGTTGTTTTGAAACATTTGAGCCAGACATGCTATACAGCTTTGTTTCCGCAGCATGGGAACTTTTATTTTTTTTACAGTTGCATACTCTGTTTCCCTATTTTGTGGCAAGAGCATCCAAAAGTTGTTTCAATTCCCTGCTCTTAATAAAACACATTTTCATTGTCATGTGACACCAATTAGCATATTAATGTTTCCATGTTCTTTGCTTGACATGTAGTTGTGACCTCTCCCTGTGCTGCCATTTCCCATCTCCTTCAAAC